ACCAATGACATTATCTTGAACCTCGTTCATTTCCAAAAATCTTTCATATATATTTTTTTGAGGAACAAATAGGAATATGGAATTTGGCTACATTTCGTTGAGAAATCTAAAACATAGCCAACAGAATATTTGAAAAGTGTAAAAGAACTCAAGGAAACTCAAAAAAATATTGATATTTTTTAATATATTGCAACTTTCGAGTGTCAAAGAAAAAATATATCAGGTTTAAGCTCTTTGAAGTTCATGAAGTGTTCATGATTGCCACTTTTTCATAAAATTACAAATCAATCACGTTTTTCGCGCTTTCGTTATTGCAGAGCGCAATTGTCTACTTTTCAGCCAACGCTTTTAACTGCTTCAAAGTTAAAAGTGATTCTTCACTTTAATTCGTCTGACAGTAAAAAAATGCAAAGCAGTTTTTTCTCGAAGCGGTTTGACAATTTGGAAATATTCAAATTGGGTCGAATCACGACTGAAAAACTAGAAGTAACGCTTCACTAATAGCCCACAGAGACAGAAGTCTAATTGTTGTATCTAATTTTGCGTGAAAAGAAAAGAAAACTCATTCTATTGAACTTCTAACCGTGGTTGGAATTTTCAGCGGTTGGAATAAAAATAGAACTTACACGGACTTGACTAAAACCAAGTTGCCAAATTTACAACTAACAAAAAAAGCAGTTCTCTGAGAAATTCATGAAGCTCAATTCTGAATTCAATTCAGTTCTTCAAGAAATTTCATGAAGCGAACTGAATGTCGATATATATATATATATATATATATATATATATATATATATATATATATATATATTGACTGAAGCAACTCAAGCTATGATATTTTGAAACATTTCAAGTAATTTCATAGAGCTAATCGGATGACAAGTTAAATTTCTCTAAGCAAACTATTAGTTATGAAACTTTGAAACATTTCAATATTCATAAAGCGAATCAGGCGGTGAAGATTTTAGGTTAGTCTAAGCAAGTTTTTCCTGCTATGCAGAATTGAAATATTTCAAGTTATTTCATGAAGCGAATCGGATGCCAAAAAGTTTACGTCTTCCTAAGCTATTCCAACAAGGAAAATTTGAAAAATTTCATTTTTATGAAGCAAATCAGTTTGCCCGAAAGTCTCAGTTTTTCTAAGCAAGTTATACAACCTATGAAACTTCAAAAAATAAAACGATTGATGAAACTTCAACAAATAATCCAAATAATTTTATTGTTTGAGTCGGTTCGCGATCAATTCAGTTTTTTTCTGAAAATATCTATTCAAGCTATGAAACTTTCAATAATTTCAAGTTATCTTTGGATCAAAATGTTTTGCAAAAAACAAAACAAGTGTTTCTACACAAGCTATTCGAGCTAAGTTTCTTCAAGAAGCGAATCGGATTGCAATATGTTTAAAATTTGATATTGAAGCTTTTTAATTGATGAAACGTAGCATTATTCCAAACTGTTTCATAGAGCAAATCAGTTCGGTAAAAGTTCAAGCTTATCTTAACCCAGGTAATGGAGCTATGGAAGTTAGAATGTCAAATGATTTCACAGACCGAATCGCTTTGTGAAAAATTGAGTTTTTGTAAAGAAGCTATGCGAGCGATGAAAATTTAAAAACTGTTTCATAGGTTAAATCGATTCGCATAGAATTTAAGTTTTTCTTAAAAAAGCTATTCAATCTAAGAAAATTTCAATAATGTCAAGTTATTTCACAGACCGAATCGCTTCGTGAAAAATTGAGGAAACAAGTCGAAGCCACAAAGCTGTGGCTATAGCATGAATAACGACCACCAAGGCAACAACTTGGGTAATACTGCTTTAAAAATATAACCCCTCAATTCTACTTGTTACAGTTCCATGAACAAAAAGTAAAACGGAACACTTAGGTTCATCACCTGATTAGTTTATATAAAGCACATTCTATTGCATCAGAAGTTTTCCTTTCGAACATCTTCTTTTGTCAAAGCGAACATCTTCTTTTGTCAGTGCTACTCTAGTTAAGAAAACTTGATGGATATCAATTTATTTATAAGACCGAATCGGTTCACGAACTAGTTAAACTACATATGTTGTCACATGAAGCTAATCAGTTGTGTAAAGTTAAGTTTTTCTCAAGCAAGCAATTCAAGCTATGAAATTTCTCAAATTATTCTGTAGACCCAATCAAATCGCGAAAAATGTAGGTTTTTCTAAGCAAGTAATTCCAGCTCTGAAACTTTGAATTCAAAGTTACTTCATAGACCAAATCGGTTCGCGAAAAGCTTAAGTTTTTCTAAGCAAGCTAGTCAAGCTCAAAAAACTTGAACTATTCAAGTTATTTTATAGACTGAATCGATTTGCGAGGGTTCAAGTTTTTCGAAGCAAGCTCTTCAAGTTACAAAATTTTAAATTATACAAGTTATTCGATAGACTTCGAACTATCAAAAAAAATTCGAACTATTGAAGTCAATTCATGGACCAAATAAGTCCGCAAAAAATTTAAATTTTCTAAGCAAGCCATTCCAGCTTTCAAACTTTAAAATATTTCAGGCTATTTCATAGATCGAATCATTTTGCGAAAAGCTCAAGTTTTTCTAAGCAAGCTATTCAACCTCTGAAGGTTTTGAATACTTCAAGTTACTTCATTGAATCAGTTGCTTAGAAATGTTTGCGAAAAGTTTTGCTTCACTTAAGCTTTCCGCAAAACGATTCAGTCTATAAAAAGCTTGAAATATTTCAAAATTTATCTGAGCACGCTATTCACGCGATAAAACTTCGAAATATGTCAAGTTGTTTCATAGAGCATATCGACTGGCGAGATGTTTCAATTTTTCTAAGCAAGCTATTCAGGCGATGAAACTAAAAATTCCACGTTATTTCTTAGCGCAAAGTGGTTTGCAAAAAAGCTTGTTTTTCTAGCAAGGAGGTTGCTGTTTTTAGTTAGTTCGTTTCAGAATGAAATCAATCTGAAAAGTCAAAATTTCGAAAGAGTTCATCTTGTCTAAAGAATTGAAATTTTGTCAAAATTAATTGTAGAATATTCGAGACTTAAGAATATTTGAAAATTCTAGAATATTCTTGATTTTCTCTTAAACGTTAAGCCAAAAGCATTTTTTAAAACGTAGCATTCTACAAAACTAATATATAGATATAAGATTAATTAGATAATAGACCAAATCTGATAAATTCAATATTTAGGCAAGCACAGAGATGTTTTTCATGGGTAACACTTCACAAAACAGCTAATTAATATGCACATACGGATGAAACAGATCTAATATTAAGGCGACCAAAAATACATTGGAAAACTAGGAAGCTTCCCGATCAAATTCCAAAAATCACCAAACACGAAAAATGCTTTAAGCTGTGAAGTCGTTTTGAGCCGTTATATCAAATAATTGGAGACAAAGACAGACCCTAAACACAGCTGAGACACAATTGAGGCAAGAAGTCAAAAAAATTATCTGAACAAAAACTATAAGTCACTTGGCATGAAAGTTATCTCCATTCATCCAATTTCTAGCATTTGAAAAAAAAATAGGGAAGACACCTGGAGTCGAACTCGGATCTCACTCCCCAGCGTCACTTGTCTTTACCTCGGAGCAATAGCGTCTCGCATTCTGCTAATTTTGCGCTATTCTGAGACATCAGGCAGATAAGAATATGCTTTTATAAGTTTTATAGCGGATATAGCTAATGCAAATTGACAGCAAACAAAGACATACTAAACTGCAAGCAGAAATTGAAAACGAGAACTGAAAGTTGCCACTTGCAATGGAAAAAAGTGATCTGATATTAAAAAGTGGAACAAGGACTCATTATCCAACACTCTTAATATTCATGAATCCCTATGAGGTGAACGACTCATTTGTAGAGAATTAAGGTAAAAAAGGATTCTTTTACCTGAGTTTGCAGAGAAAAATATCATATTTTTTTCTAATTAAAAACTAAGGATCCATTCATTGCGTCCGTATATTCAAAAAGCAAATGAAATGAGATAAACATTGCATAACTTGGTTCACACGCAAAAAATAACTGCGTTATTAGCAAGATTTGAAACCAGGGTTTATAGAAAAAAGAACAAAAACTTTTAAACAAAGTCTGTGCTAAGGTAGACGCCGAAAAAGTATTTAAAAAAAAACATTTCGGAAATGCATAAAATTTCGGAAAAAAGCATTTCGGAAAGCTAACAGGTTCTAGCCGGGCTCGAAGATGAGTCATTAGCAATTTCAAGCACGCATGTTACCTCTACTCCAAATGCGCAGAATTACATAATCGAACTTGTTTCCATGATGAAAAGTTTCCATGATGAAAAAAATCTGCACTCCAATTTGGTAGCGATTGCTGATCACAAGCATAAGAATTCAATCAGATAGTTATTTTACGTTCTTTTACCTTCTTTGTATAATGAAAACGCACATTGGAAAAGTTTGAATTGTCAAATAGGTAACAGAAAATACAACTTAACTTTACAGATAGCAAAGTCATCTTTGTTTATATGCAGCTAACACTTTTTACATTATTAGTAATCAAAAGCATATGCAAGAACTTTAAACCCAGATCGGAGATAAGGTAATAAAAATATTTGCTAATTTATTCTGTGACCTCATCGGCATTTAGTACTAGAAGGCAGCGAATGAGTTGAATGTAGAAGATCATAACCTAGTAAATTAAAGCATGAAGCGACAAGACATTGTACTAACTAACAGCACTCAAGTGGTCCGATTATGATTCAAGTAACTCCTAGTCAAGACTATAACAGTTGCCACATTTGATCTAAACTGAAAAAGAGCTTCTACCTTACAAGTAATTGAAATCTACACAGTAGCGTGCCGGGAGGGGAGTCAATTCTGGTCCCACATTTGGTATAACTTTATGACATCCATTTTTCACTGAACAACCTCAAAATGTTTCTAACGGCGCCTTTGGCGCGAATATGACTAATTTTGATGGGCGAGCACGCGCCGAAAAAAAACTCAATTTTTTGGTTAAAATTTTCCAAAAAACCAAGCAAACCCCCCCCCCCCCCCCAGAAAAATTTCTGCGCACGCCACTGAATCTACATATTTCCTCAACAAGTACCTTGGCGATTAATAGTATGCGGCTATAATTGAATCCCGATCTGAATACTACAACTATCATATCACAATTATGTCATCTCATTTATAATGAGTAGATGCAGAAAGTTCGAGCAGACAAAACTAGTTCTAAAAAAGTCCTATATTTCAGACAGAATTCGTGTCAAGAAAGACTAATTTCAAATTTCCATGCAATTTTCTAAATAAATTTTCTGTCACTTTTATCAAAACGAGTAGGTTACTCTTCCTAACTATTTTGTAAAAACTGGCGAGTTGCTGTTTTCTATTGTTTTCTGAAAACTTGCAAGTTGAGTTGCTGTTTTAATCAATTTATCTCAAAGCGGCAATTTGCTGTTTTTATTATTTTGCACGAAAATAGCAACCTGTTCTCTATGATTTAAATTGTCAGTTCAAACTTTCTGCACATCTCTTTAGCTTATCTGGTTCTCAGTCAATCAACGTGAGCATTGCAAAACCACAGAAGGTATCCGCATTCGGCACCTCCCGACTGTCAGCAGGCAAGTTCAACTTGAACAGCACTTTTCTCTCTCGACCTTCGATAATCTTGACTATATTATGTGCGAGGAGTATCTTGTTTGAGCCACTGATCAGCCCAGCAGACACCATCTCTTGTGATACACTATCCGCGCTATCTTCTGCTGAATTGAAAGGAAACTTGATGTCATTCAACTCATTAGATTCATTTCGCATTCGCAGACATAACTCGAACTTGCGCGGCTGAACTGTTCTTATCTCTGGTTCTATGCTAGTCGATGATGCATTCAGTGTCTGTCTGTCACTTCCGTTTTGATGAGACGGTTCAGGCGAGGAAGTATTGGCCGAGTAGTCAGCGTCGCCTGAGGACTGCAGAGATCCTGATGGCAAGGCAAATTGATCAGCTTGCAACAGTCTATTCTTGCGATCTGATTGGCTGGATTTGTTATTGTCGCGATGTGATTGGTCGACAGCATTTAACGAGGACCCCGTGTCTAACTCGTCGTCGCTCCACTCCCATCCTCCGTCTTCTGTCCTGTGCATTGTTCCCGTAGATCCAGGCACTCTTTTCACCTTCTGGGCACGGTGTTTAAAATGGGGAAGCTTTTCAACAAAGTCAATGAATTTAGTCTCTTTTCCATTATGTGTCAATCCAACAACGTTTTCAAACGCACTATGAGAATGTTGAAATTTCTTGAAAATTTCGTGTTTCAGAAGCTTGGCGGCCGTAGGTCGTTTCAGCGGGTCTTTCTGAAGACACTCCGATATGAAATGATCTAATTTGCATTTTTTGAGGCTACTGAAGGATACGTTGGCTTCGTGGCAGCATTGCTCTAGTCTTGGCGAGTCGTTTTGCACAGTCATGATCATCACTTTCATGGCTGGATACTTGGCGTAAGGCGCTTTTCCAGTAGCCAGTTCGATGGCTGTGATTCCAAAAGACCAGATATCTACTTTCCAATCGTACCCAGCACTGTCTTGCTCAATGATCTCCGGGGCCATCCAGCATGGTGTTCCAACAAACGTATGCCTAACGCCTCCTTGCGACCTTTTGTTACTCGCCGATATCCAAGCACTCACTCCAAAATCGGCCAGTTGAACTTCACCATTGTCGCCGATTAAAATATTTCCCGCTTTCACGTCGCGGTGAATGTTTCCTTGCTTGTGCAAATAGTCCAAGCCTTGAAGCACTTCATGTAACAGGTAGATGATAAAATACTCCGGAAGAGGTGGTTCTTTCTTTCCATTTGGATCCGAATTTCGTTCTAGCTTCTCAAAATGTTTGATTATATCCAAAGCTGATCCCTTAGTGAGTAACCGCATCACCACCCATAGCTCATGCTTATGTACAAAAGAGGTATAGTATGTAACGATGTTTCTGTGATTGCAAAGGCTCATTAATTTGATCTCATTGGACAGTTCTGTGATGTTGACGTTTTGGCGGTCTAAATTGATTCTTTTTATAGCACATGATCTGTTGTCCAAAGGCGTGCACGTGGCCTCGAACACCACAGCCGTAGCACCAGATCCAATCATGTCCCCTAGCACATAGTCCTTTCGGCTCACAGGCCATTCCAACTCAATGTGGTCAAATGAGGGTCCACTTGAAAGATGTGAGTGATTGCTAGTTTGTGCTGCAGCTGACATTGTGCCACTTCGTTCCAATCAAATTAAGATCCCAACTGATTCCCGCCGGAACAAATTTACCTGAGTCGGCAATTCTTTCGGTAGAGAAGGCCGAACGAAACTTGTGACCCAAAATACAAATCTGAACTCCTCAGATAAGTTCTGTAACCTTCAATTGAATTTGGCTGCAGCTGAAATGTTTCACAATCTCTGAGTAAAGCACTTGTCTGTTTGAGCACACAGTTTATACGCAGCAAGCGTACATCAAATGGTAAATAAATTCAAGTTTATCTGAAGTATAATGTTGCAACGTCATCATCCCACTGAGAACTTAATGAGTTACAGTACTAGGACTAGATTATATGCAAAGCAAAACGACAAAATATAACTGAACCAACATGGAAAAATATATATTCAAACGGTGACGAGGACTATGGCTATAATGCTAATGCAATTATTCACTACAACCACACAGATACCTTATGAGAGAAGCAAAAATGGACAAATAAGGAGTCCCCAAATAGGGCTGATTACGTCTACATCGACCAGAAAGAGTAGCGAAGAAGCTTACAAAAGTTATGAGATTTTAACTGGCTAGAAATGTATGTAAATTAAGACTCTACTGGCATTAAGATAAACTGACAGCAGCTTTTATGCTCAAATTGGTATGAAAGGAGGGCTGTGAAAACTTCTATAGCCACAGAGAAAGAAACAGGAGAATAACTTACTATTCGGCCATCAGGGAATATTCGAGGAAAAATTCGCCATAGGCCCCGTGAACTGGATTCATCCTTCTGCTTTCCTTTTTTTCTATCTTCTTCCTCAGTTGGTTGTTTGTTTGTTCCTTTTTAACGAGCAGGTACGTGCTACAGCAGATAGATCAACGGGCCAAGTGGATGGACGGTGTTTGCTGATATTTTCCCCTTTTCAATTTTTGTCACTTTTCCTCTCGCAAAGAAAAAAATTGTAAAGAACGTTTCCACTCATAAGCGACTCCGAAAACAGTGAAATGCAGCTCAGAGCATGGGAAAATCTGAAAAGAGCCACAGAATTCACTAAGATTGGGTTCCCAGATAGCACATTCTATGAAACAATGCGCAGTTTAATCGACCGTTGTTTAAGGCTGAATGGACTCGAATGCGTTTCTTTCTTTCTTAACAAAGGGGTCGTTAAAATCGTTCAAGCGCATATCTTTCCATCTCTTCTAATATGACGTACCTTCTCATCGTGAAAACTGGAAATTTTAATTACGGAGACACGCCTTCCATCATTGAGAAAAAAACGTATGGAAAAATTAAGGTAAAAATAAATGACAAAATCGGTTATCACAGAAAAACTCTTTTTTCGCTCCTTTTAGATAAAGGACTTGAGTCTATTCGATAAAGTCAAATCGGATCCATTTAACAATTCCCCCCTTCAATAAGGGGGCAATTGTTAAGTAGATTAAGTTGTCCAACTTTCGACCAATCAGATCGCAGTAAAATTCGAATTTTAAATACAACGCTCTAGTACTAAGTTACTGCTTTCATTTAATGGGGTGGCAATTTTTTAGTAGACACCAAAGGGAGGGCGATTGTTAAGAAGATCAGTCAACTCGGCCGACAAAACAGATGAAATAGGTTAATTCTAAGTTAAACTGAGCGCTGCCTAGCTTTACTTAACAAATCGAACTAAACCAACAGGTACTTATAAAAAAATTGATCTCCAGGAAAAAGTAAATAGACAATTGATTACCTAACTTAAAACAAACTGCATCTACGAAAACCCTTCGAGTTTCATTTGTATATTGTTGAAACTTTTTTGAAGCAATTAAACAAGTTTCTGAAGACGAAACAAAAATATGCACAGATGCTTAGTTGGACTTTCCAATACAGAGGCGAATCGTAGCTCCACATCACTTGCGATACAAGACATAAAAAATACGTAGAAAAAGATAAAAATTTTGAATAAAAACAGGTCTACCAAAATTTCAACTGTCTAAGTCTCGGTAGAAGTTCATTTTAGGCAAAGATACCAGACTAAATATTAACACAGAGACAACGCATACACTTCGCATACACAAGCAAAAATATGACCGATAACGCTACTGAGAATAACGCTACTGCACTTCGCATACACAAGCAAAAAAAATGATCGATAACGCTACTGGGAAAAACTGAATGAGTAAAACTTTAAGTCTGCAAAATTTCTTACGTGAAGCACGCCAATTATGACGTATTAGCAGTGCCAGTCAGTTTGAAAAAAAAAACGAAATTTACCAACTAATATGCCTCAATTTATAGAGCGGACGCATTTTAACTAGTATACGAAAAAGTTCAATAAAACATCCGACCCTGCACAGGTTCGAACCCTCTTATTTTGTTGTGGATCTCCTTCCTTACCTCTATGCTACAGATCCATGATACTTTGAAGCTAAAGTGCTATTTGTAATATATTAGTCTGTGTTAATACCCTTAGCATTGACTGTACTTAATAGCTGGTTATTGATCAAAATGAACACTTTCAAAATGAACACATTTTGTCGCAATAATTGCATCGCAACAATATTTGCGACTTAGGTTGGGGAAAAAAGAGAATTCATACTATAACACAAGCTATGTTTGTGTAAATACCAAAAAAAAACAAAATTTTCGAAGAGGAAAAAAGCCGACAATTTTGAGCAGACACAAAGAGCCGAGAAAAAATTATATTAAAAAAAATTGAAAATTTTCAAGTCCCCCTGAAACTACTTTAAACAACACTAGCACTTGCAACTACAATAAAGTTGGTTACAGCACAAGCAAAATCCGTGATGTGGCAACGAAGCCGACAATCTTAAAGCAGACACAAGTTGAGCCGAAAAAAACCATAAATTTCAGTTAGAACAAAAATTTGAAAGATTTCAAGTCCAGTTAGAAACTACATTGAACTACAACTTGCACCTGAAACTTCAATGAAAATTTCTTTACAGAACAAAATACCGACGGGTGCAAAGGCGACGGCGTTACCTCTAGGCCAACTGCGAACGGTCTGAAAGATTTAAGCTTAAAAAAAAACAAGTAAAATTTGTAAGAAAACCTGTTTATGGAAAAAGTTTGTTTTCATTTACAAGACACTTGCTTTCGCAAGTGTAAATACATGGGAAAAAAGTCGAAACGAAGCTCTAAAAACGGAAAATGCAAGAACATACAAAAATATAAAATGTCTTGAAAGGAAATCAACTTCGAAAAACAAGAACTCCCGGATCTCCCACCCATGAGACACTTGCATAACCATTGTGCCAGACAGCCATTTCCAAAAAGAAAATTGGGAGAAAACACTCTCCTTAAAAAGAAAAATTTTGCTCTAAAATTGTCGAATACTCATTCAGAATGCGAGAGAGTGAATCCGAAGTCGCCAGCGACCAAAAAACAAAGAAATTCAACATTTCCGGACTGTTATCGTTCAACATCTAAAAGGTTTAATTCTGATCCTCCCATCGGTTCCAGAAATCTTTGTCGTTACACCACTTCTGACTATGAACACTTTAAAAATCTTCATTGAGGCGTTACCTTATAGTAGACTTGTTTGTCGAGCTAGTTCTGTTTACCACAAAGAACCCCCCGCGGGCGTAACGAACCCGGTTCTTCATGTAACCTCAGATCTTTATTGTGGATCGCTAACCCAATTTAAGCAGAATGGGCGACATTTTGGTAGTTACCTTAGAACGCAACTTTCACTAGTTTGATGTCCCTGAACCGCCCGCAATGAGATTGCCTCGACGTCTAAAAGCACTGTAGCTAAAGATCCTGACATTGACCCAATGGCTATAGGGCCTAGTTTCTCTTGCATCGCCGACAGAAATAAAATAAAAATCTGCTGAATAAAGAAAAATGAAAAAAAAAGTCATAACTACCTTCATTTTCACACGTTTGTCGTCTCGACTTGCGTATGTTCATTTTGAGGAGAACATGTTGATTGAGACAACTGCCCGTCTTGAGCTGGCATCGAAACAAAACTTATGCAGCGGTAACTGAGCTGATAATACTGGAACAGACCCCAGTTAGGCCGATAAAAATCAAGCAGACAAAAAACTTCAGGCTATCAAAAATCATGAAACTCAAAATTCACACCCAAACAAAACCGCATAGAAAATGTTTTCACCATCAAACGACCCAAAATAAGTCGGCTAAGCCGCAAAATTACAAGCCAGAACCCCTTTAAGCGATTCACAGCCATCACAAAGGCATTCAGAGCCATTTACCGAGCGGCATCTGAGCCGAAAATTTTTTGGTAGATGCCCATTGAGCAGTTAAACTTGAAGTGAAGTTTTAAAATTCAAAATTCGTAGGCGCCATAATCCGTGAACCACATTGAAGCATTAAAATATATTTTCGTCCCTTACTAAGCCGGTATAAGATAAGGCGAAATCATTTAAGCAAAAAGGTAAGAAAAGTTTATAAGATTTTATATGAAGTTAGGTTTGATAAGAAACTAAATTAGTGTGACTTTAAAGTACGGTACAAATGCTAAAATCAGACGAAGCATCCACACTTTTGAAGGCAAGCCGGCATAAATAAGCAGACAAATGATAGTCCGAAAATTGAACTTTCACGAGTCAATTTACAAAAAGTTGGCTTCCGGTCGGAATCGAACATTATTTTCAATTGAGAGAAATACAAACTCCATACATGCTCAAAATTCACTGCTACTTCGTCAGAACTTGCCAGTTCAGGTTATGTAAAAAGTAAGAGCTGTAAGAAATTGTTTAATGAAAATAGCCTAGTTCCTAATTACAAGTCACTTGCTCCTGCAAATGAAAAACAAAAGTGGTCAAAAATTCAAAATATCCACAATTTCAAAAATTTTACAACTTAAATAGCTTCACAGTGCAATAGATTCAAATATCAAAACGCAATACTTTAAAACTTAATGATCAAATTTGAGTTTGAAAACTTGTTTGAAAAAAACTCAGTTGTCTTAATTTCGTCACCTAATAAATTTCATGATTCTTTTCACTTTCTCCAAATTTCAGAAATAAGGTCGAAATTTTTAGAAAAAGTTATGGTTTTTGATCAGCGAGATAATTTCAAATAATTGAAATTTTCTATATACGAACATCTACCTCTTTTTGCTGTAAAGTAATTTTTTCTTCCATAAAGTTGAAGGCAAGTTTGAAAGAATGAAACCACCAGCATAATACACGATTAATAGGGAAACAAACTTTTACCAAAATAAACTTCTTTTCTGAATATATTATTCATATTTAATCACTGAATGATCGTAGTACAAGGAAGCTAGAAACATTTCAAATAAACTGGATTTACTACAGAAAAAAAGCTATCGCTGCAAAATGAAAACAGAGAAGCGGAGCTTGGCAACACTTGCGATAAAAAACATTGAATTTAAGGATTGTGAATGGAAAAAACGTAAGTCAGAAATAATTAATTTGAAAGTCGAAAAAACTACACTTAAAAAACTTCATCTTTGTATCGGCTGATAACCATGAACAGCAGAAAAAAGATTGGGAATCTTTTGCCGAGCGGCAACTAAGACAACAAAATTTGGGTCAACCGTCGAGTCGATAAAAAACTGTTGTAATAAAAATTTTGATACAGTTTTTTACGACCCATCCGTACTTAAACAAATAATAGCTTCAGGATGCAATTTGCACTCGAAATTACGCAAAATAATGCGACTAAGCCGATGTAACATAAACTAAAACTGTTTAATCGAAAAACAAAACAAATGTAAATGAACACAGAAGCAAAGCTTCGCATCGCTTGCAATAGTAAACAAACATAGCATGCCATACTAGCACAGAAATTGAGACGAAAACTGCTAACTCTAAATAAAGTTTTGAAAATTTCAAGAAAAATTAGAACTACTAAAATGTTCGTAGCTTCGCACCACTTGCGATACATAAACATCAAAAAAAAAACATTTGAAGTCGAAAAAAAATTTTAAAAAACTTTTGTCTCCATAAAACTTTTGTATGCCTCCATAAAAAAAAACTATCGGCCCACAAAAAGCTAGAAATACCTATTTGATAATTTATTGAACTTGTTTTATACTAATGCTGGATGGAATGAGTAATTTCAAAATTAGACTTTGCCGAAAACCTTAGTTGTTTATCTACTAAATTAACTTTGAAACTTTCCCGGGACAAAACATTTTCCTTAGAAATAACGCCTTAAAACCAAACGCGTTACCTCAAGGCCAAGTGGTGAAGAACCTGGATTTTGTTAAGGTTCAAAAATAAAGCAAGTGCAATTTCTTGAAAGAAAAATAGTTTACGGGGAAAAAGTCTCAATTAGTTCCCAATTACAAGACATTTGCTCTCGCAATTGTAAAGAAAAATTGAAATTTTTCAAAAAATGACAAATGAACCCCTCATAAAACTCACACAAACAGGAAAATTCTTTCGCTCATCCAACGATGCAATATGGAGCCACTAAGCCGATTAAGTATACGCCAAAAAAAAACTTTTACGCCGATTAAATAAAATACCAAGAAAACAAAAAAACAAACCTCCACCAATGGGCTTTTAAAATGGCATTCAGGGACTTATAGGAAAGCGAAACCATCGAAAAGAGTCCGTTTTAGGGGAACTAAGCCGACAAAAAAACAGGTTGACGATAGTCTGAAAAAGTTGAAATAGTTTAGCTTGAAAGGAAAAACAGGTCCCGGCCGGATTCGAAAAACAAGCCTTTTTTGTCTCGAGCAATTGTGTTACCTCTAAGCTATATGAGCTAGATGTTTGAGTGATTTTAAAAAAATCTACCTGAAACGAACTTCACTAAATTATTGCCAAAATTATGGAGTTTTATTTGATTGTTCAAGAAATTGTGCATGTCAAAAGTAATATTTACCATTCCTATTAAATTGACTATTCTGCGAACAAATTGTTTACGGGAAAAAGTCTAGTTCCTGATTGCAAAGCCCTTGCTGATCGCAGTGATGAAAAGCAAAAATTACCCGTGTTAATAAACGTAAGACATAGGGCTTGAAAAATTAAAATTTTTCAGAGTAGATAAATCGCCCACCTCCTCACTGAATGCAAGCTTTCAACGGTGTCTCAACAACATTATCTTTTATCCTCTCAATTTTACCTGAAACTTTACTTCGACTCCCATCCCTTGCACTTTTTCTATACGTCCCTTTGCCCTTCCTGACTAATGAAACGGTTTATTAAATCAACTTTTGAGGACAACCTGGACGAAACAATTTCCGAGAGCAACGAGTCGACTGTTTTAAGGATAACAGCGACAGAAGTAAATTCCTTTTCAAAAATGTTGAAAAACTAATTAAACGCATTCATAAGAAACACTAACTAAGGTCATCCAAGATGCCGCCAACCCCAAAGCCCTCCCACTGAGCCCTCCGGAAATTTTCTCGACTGCGGTTCTGCTCCCCCAATCAACTCGGAGAACTTAAGCGCAGCTAAGCTTTGGCTACATACCCGTTTTTTTTTTACTACTTACGGCAAGAGAATTGACCTGTCCGAACTGTCCTCCTCCCCACACTATCCTTCATCTTTTTAACTACCCCAAAAGCCAGATTAAACTCGCCCCAGTAGACCTACGGGCAAATGACAACAACAACTGAAACAAATAGTCTAAAACGCGCTAATAATTGGTCTCAGTCGCGGTCTTGAAATCGAGTTCAAAAGGTTCATGAAATTGTAGAAAACGGCAAAGTCAAAGAATCATTATCATTGATACTTTTTTTTTTCATTTAAACAAATTATTTTGGAAGACGCAAGATACACCAGCAAAATATCATAGATAACGCTAGATAAAACCGAGTCACCACATGCTTTCAAAACTCTCTTGACTTTTTCCCTTCAAGATATGATAGATGCCTGATAGGAAATATTGAAAACGTTTTCTGCCGAGCTACGCATTTTTAGCATTAGAAGCAAATCTCTTTTAGCGCATCAATTCTGTTTTAGCGCATCAATTCAGTTTATATGCATTAGCTCTAATCAATATAACACAGAAATTGCAATTTAAACGAAAGCGACAACGTGAATATGTACTAACACAAATTTAGTTCAAAATTTTTTTTGGAGTAACACAAATTTACCCTTTTGGTAACACAAATTTTTGCAGGGTCGGATTTAGGGGGAGAAATAATGGTGCTTTTACGTCGGAAAATCAATTTGGTCGAATTAACACCAGTCAAAATTTTTTAAAAACCCGCCCCTCTCAAAAAAAATCCTGGATCGTTCAGGGATTGGAAAAGAGTCATGAACGCAAGTAAACATAAAAAAAACACTGACTTTCTTGAAAAAATCTCAACTTTCGAATTTCAAAGAAAATAATAGATGCCCTTTAAGCTCTTTGAATTTCTAGAATAATGTATGATTTGCGCTTTTTTGATAACATGAACCGAACTTGAGAACACTGGATCAATAGGTACAGTTTTTATTCCGCTGGGAAATCTTAAAAAACAAATTCCACTTTCGAAACTAGAAATCGTTCACGTTTTTTCGCGCCATTTCCACGTTCGTATTTGGAGAATGCTATTTACATCAGTTTCAGACGATGAATTTCAATTGAGCTCAAAAAGTGCATAAATACCAAGGAGCATTCATCAATGAATGCACATCTGTAGTTATAAGAAATTTTGATGAACAGTTTACACAGAGGAGAAGCTGAGATCTGTACCACTTGCGATACAAGTGCGAATGACTATGAAAATCAAACGGAAAAAAATTCAAAAGAGTCGTTTTTGTCAATCAAAATTATTATAAAAGACAAAATAACCAAAACCAAATTGCCTGCACCATAAGAAACTCTACATGGAGCTTTGAAAATGCTATTCAGATGCCAAGTTTTCAAAAAAAAATAGTCCTTTCTGCGGAACTAAGCAGACAAAACTAAGCAGACAGACGATCTAAATTCGCCAAAATTTTCTATTTGCAAGAAAAACTAGTCTCAAGTGGAATCGAACTCCCGGACTTTGTCATTTCAAGCAGGAGGGTTACAGCAATTTGGAATAAAGCTGAACCAACGAGCTACGGGAACTAAGCCGACAAAAATAAACAGACGGACAATAATCCGAAAAAGCAAAAAAACTCTGGTTTGCAAAAAAAGGGCACGGCCGGATTCAAATTGCAAATATTTGCCATCCCCAGCATTTGTTTTACCTCTACGCCAGATGGTTGATTCAATTTGATTTTGTAATTACCAGGCGGTAACAGAGCCGAAAAATCATGAGCAGAAACCCTTCATACAGAAAAGAAATTCGAAAAAAATGCTAAGTCCCTTTTCCCCTCAAAACTCACACGCACACAAATGGAAAAAAAAATGATATATTAACAAATCGAGCTGGCAAATTTACAACCAATGTGAAAAACAATTTTCGGTTCAGCCGGATTTTTAAAAGCTAAAATAAACGATTCTTAGAAGTGGCAACTAAACCGACAACACATGAGCAGAAAACTATAAGGCCGAATTTTTTTTGAACCGGAACAATTACCGTTTTAAAAAAAACTGGCCCTGGTTAAGATTCGAACCGAAGGACTTTTGCCGTCCCAGGCGTATTCGTTACCACCAAGCTAAGTTTCAAGAGACACTACAAAATTTGAATTCATTATGAACCAAGGTACTACCAGTTCAATGAGTCCTGTGGACAAAGTTGTTTACGGGAAAAAAATCTAGTACCCGATTGCAATATCCTGTCTATCGCAAGGGCAGATTTTAACCAAAAAAAAACGAAAAAAAAGTCAGCAAGACATTTATAAGAGTCTTCATTACGTTTATTATTCTTAAAAAAAGCGACTTCGTGAATTTGCAGTAACACAAATTCAGTAAAACAAATTTATGTAATAACACAAATTTACCCTTTCGGCAACACAAATTTTTTCAGGGTCGGATTAAGGAGGAGATGGAATGGTGCTTTTCTTCACCGTTCAGAGATTCGAATTAAACAGTCAAAAATTTTTGAAAATCCGCCCCCCTCAGGAAAATCCTAGATCCTCTCGTAAACGCTTACTTGAGTAAGAACTAGATCAATGGTACAAATTAAATTCTACTTGAATTGAATATGACTTCGTTTTGCGTCAGATGAACTTTTGTTAATAAGAACGTAACTGGCATTCAATTTAGCAAATCAATTTGATATGCACTTAAAACTAACCAAAATTCCAAGCGCTAAAATTGCATTAAGCGAGAACTAATGATAAGCGCGTGAATTTTAAAAAGGAATTTATTTCCGAGCTCTCTCAGAACACAAAAAAGACCCATTTTGACAAAAAATGAACTGACAGAGAACTTGTGCGTTACATTCGTAGCAAGTAGGGTTCCTTGTTTGAAATTGAACAGAGGCGAACGGAGTTTCGAAATACTTACGAGGCAAAAAAAACATGCCAAATTTGAGCAAAAAAAGTTTATAAAAACTGCTTCAATGCTAGAAACGTCAAAAAAAATGATTCCATAAGATATTTATTTTTCTTAAAGTCTTGTGATATTTTTCTACCTGTTTCTAGTCAAAATTTAACTGAAAAAAAAACAGCATTTCATCCATTCTTTAAAAGTAAGAAAGACAGATTTATGAGCGTGCTATCATGAGCTTAAAATTCCACGCTATGGAAAAATATAATATTTTCAAATCAAAAAAATAAAAAGGAAATTAAGTCGTCAAAAATGAATCAAAAACGATGATTCCTAAATAAAAACCCAGCTGTTTTTTTCAAGATTTTCGTTCAAAAAGTTAGTTTGTACGTAATATGAACTATCAAGTCTAATTTGCACGCTATACTGGATAATATAATTGACAGTGGAAAAAAAACGAAGAATGAGCTATTAAAATTTGAAACGATAATAACGAATCCGGAACAAAACTGTCTACAGCGAAAAAGGAATAATTCCGGATTACAAGACACTTGCTCTCGCAATGCTAAATATTGAGAATTTCAACTGTAAAATTTTCAATCACGAATTAATCCACGGCCAAAAAATATTAGCCTAGATGTCGACTAGAAAAGAGAGTAGTAATTGGTCAAATAGACTTGAACTAAAAAAAAATTACAACTAATTTTCTTTAATTACTGAGACACTTTTTGTATGAACCTCGACATAAAACAGTACTTCAGAACAGCAATTTTTCAGCAGTGACGGCGGCTACTACTTTCTTGGTGTGCTAACAGTAAATCCATAATATTTTTGGGTCAAAAGAGACTCTCAAGACCCATCGCTCCACACAAACTCTGATAAATATCTGTTGATCTGTGTGATGAAAGTCATCACTAAACTTCTGATCATTTTTCAGGAGAGTGAGGCAATAATGTTGAAGAAGTGGAATATTTCCTCTCTATCGTACACCGCTATTTCTGTCGTGCAAACTTCACATTTGACCGGGTGGAATTGATCCTGCTCAAGTTTGATCAACTCTCTCGAATCTTCATTCACCACCTCTTTCTTCATACACTTCATACCCTCCGCTAAAATATTACTATTCGTACAAGCCTCTTCATCTGTCTTAAATTTTCCACCTCCACGTTTTTTACTCCTCTTTTTCTTCGCTTTTTCTGTTACATGCAGAACTTCGTTCAACTCTACTTTGCAGTTCATAGTAAACATGGCTCTATATTGGTTGGCGTAAAACTCATGTCGCTGACAATCTATGCATACAATCGTCATACAAGCTGGACAACTTAGGATAGCATCGCTAAACGCTGTGCGATTTCTGCGACGTGACCTGCTTCCACCATCACTCTCTTTTTTATCACTTTGATTTGAATAATCAGTTTTCAAGTGTTTCACTCTTTCGTTCTGAACCCATCGTTCATCTTCGTCGTCCGCTTCTGGGTCGTAGAAAGGGTCATGACCTTCGGAAGATTCCTCTTCTATTTCCGGGTCAGTGACCTCTTCTGTTCGCTGACCATCTGTCGAAGACGTGTTCTGATTGACATCAATGTTTTCTGCAAATTTTACATGTTTCGTGTGACTGCTTTTATTTTTGATGTCTATTTTCTGAGTATTAGAGTCTGAGTTTTGCACTTGGTCTAAGTCGTCAAACTCGTCTAAAGCGTCTTCCATGTACTGCTCGAAGTCTCTCTCTTCTAGTTTCTTCGCCTCTTTCCCAGTCAGAATAGATTTCTCATGTTCTTTTTGGATCATGTCTTTCACAGAATCTCTGCTGTTTGAATCTGCTTCTAAGCTGCTGCTCTCGTGCAGTTTAGACCTCAGCCACTTCTCAAGCGGAAGTGCGCTATCTTCATCAGAGCTAAACAAACAACGCTTTCCTAAAATTTTGCACTAATGTGATTTTCACGTCTCTACTACACGATACAATTTCCACAAAAACAAGGATAGCCGGTTGCTGTACAAGTAGCACAGAATGTTCCGACCATATTCATAAAAATATAGAAAAAAAAAACATTTTTTTTTAGATTCTTCAAATTAGTGTCGTTTTTAGTGGGTGATGTGATTCAAAAACTATACGATCGCGTAGGAAATTATTGAATCAGGCATGATCGACAAAAATTGTTTTCAAAAATGGAATACCAAATAAAAATGAAACAAAAAATGTATTTTTTTTTTCATTTTTTTTGTACAATAAGTTTATTTTTTTGAAAACCTTTTTTGTCAAAAAAGCGCTGACAGAAACATCCGAAACTAAATTACTTGATAAAATTCATGTTTTATGAGCCAAAAATTACTTAAAAAGTAGTCAACTTCCATAAGGCGAACGTTACTCGATCGCCTTTTTCACTCGAAATTGAACTTCAGAAATTGTCAACCAGAAATTTTCTCGAAACTGGGAGAATTTTTGTCGCTCCATCTCCACAGTTTTACTCTATTTTTCTTGGCTTTTTCGTTACATGCAGTACTTTGTTCAACTCTACTTTGCAGTTCATAGTAAACATGGCTCTATATTGATTGTCGTGATATTAAAACTCGTGTCGCTGACAATCTATGCATACAATCATCATAGAAGCTGGACAACGTAGCGAAAAACTTCATCGTTCGAATCAAGACTGAAAGGGATTTAATGTGATATACCATTCAACTCCCTCTGATGATTGATTGTGGTAGCGTATTTTGAGTGGGAAAAAATAAAACACACCCAAATACAAAGTTCCTCCCCATTTTCAATAATCGGAACACAAACCTGAGCAGAAACCCTCCAAGTCAAAGAAAAAATCAAAACTCTTAGGTAATCAAAAAATTTGAAGTGCACTTCTGCTCAGAACCCACAGTCACGCAAAAACGTTTTTCGGTCATCAAACGACGCAATAAGAGGCCGCTAAGTTGGTACAAAGTAAGCCGAAACCTATAAGCCGAATAAAAACAAATGAAAAAATAAATTTTCACAAATCTAGGTAGTAAAATTACAAATAACATGGATAGCAAATTTCGATTTGGCCTAACATGCTCAAAACCTATCTGCTGCAACAGAAAAGCCCACTAAATGAATGGGTCTAGGATCCAGTAGATATGCCCTGTAAACAAAGTTATTAACGGGAAAAACCTAATGGCCTATTTCAAAGCCCTTGCTTGTTGCAAGTGTAATTAACAAGCTTAATTTACGCTGGCCGTTGTAATTCTTGACTGTTCTTCTGAAAATGAATTTTTTTATTTCAATATTTCTGTCTCATTTTCTATTCGCTAGCTTGCAATGCTACGCTTACATTGTGATGCGAAGCTCTGCTTCTCTGTAAAATACATGAGTCCTAATTGCGCTGGAGATAAGTCAAGAACGTGACTTAATTTTGCGTAAAAAATAGCATTTCACTTCAATTATTACTTGTTTGATCAATAATCAATTAACCGGCTCAACATTCTATTCTTAAGCAATGCGTTTAATCCTAGCAACTGCTGAATTTAAATCTACCGTTTCAAATAGAATTCAACATATTCTCACTTTTCCGGGATGATGAGCTTGAAAAACATGGAAAACAAAATTAAACAACGTGAAATTGCACTAAATATTACAGCCATAAATGAAGAGCGCTTAAATTGACAGAAAACGATCAACTCATAAAAAAACTGGTAACCACAACCAAGAGATATCTGTAGTCAAAGTATATGCTTGAAAAGTGATCAAGGCCTTCAAAGATTTTAGAGAAAGACTTCGGTTGGTTTATTCACACTCGAGAAACACCATCATTTAAAATTGTCTCCGATTTAATTTGCCCCTATGAACTTGTCAATGGGGTTTCAAAAATACCTGTTGACAAGATCATCATCGCTGAAGTCGTATTCGACATAGTCATCAGTCATGAAAGAGGCCATTTCTTTACACCACTCTCAACTCTAGCACAGTTTAATGGTTTAATCAGCAGACAAGTTGAACAGAGCGTACCATGGTATAACAGTTCATTCTATCTGAAATGAATGATAAGTCGTTAAATCATAAAAAACATACACTGCATATTCGACTTGGATGATAGTAATCATAAATTAACAGAGCTCACTTTCAAAACATTCAGTAGTTGTTTTCAAATAAGAACCAAACCAAAATAACATAATAAATACGTAGTGATTTGATTTATTTTCGGCCTTCTTATTAAAAAATCGAGACCAATTAATTCCCCCATAAAATTTTTGAGGACCAATAATAACAACACCAAAACCACGCCAAAAACATTTATAACTCGTGGTTATTTGGTTAATTCTCGGTCTTCTTTGTAAAAAAAAAACAAGACTGATTGCTATCGTCCTAGTAATTAGTACCATTGAATCGTCCTAGTAACTAGTATCGGTAATTCGACAGATAGCATGTCTGGTTCGGCTGCTCAAACTGCTCCAGTGAACGCTGTCGGAGTGGGGATGTCATATGCACACTGGGAAGCTAGAAGAAACCAACAGCATCAAGACAAAAACACTTACGCAGCCAACATAAACAAGGTCAGTATGGGCCAAACTCATGAACCTCTGATGAATACCCCAGCAAAGCGATAAGAATGTTAAAAAGCGATGAATAAAACTATAAATTGGTCGTCCAAACCAGCTTGGCCTGAGATCTAGAGCAACATTGGGATTCCAACACCACAATGTGGAATCACCTAAATCAACTTAAGCTCGTTTGTCTCTGAAGTCCCAAATACACAAATCATTTGCAAACAAAAAAAAAAGATTCAAAAGCTTGTGCTTAATTATATGTCCCCGGATTACATAGGATTTTTGAGTTCAAACCAAAATCGATTTTCAGGAATTCTGACTCATGGACAATTTTAGCAATTACAATCAAACTGTATCAAGATTCCAAAACCAGGCCAACCCTGCTTGACAACGTAACAAAAGCAAAACCTTTATCCACCAATGGATTGCAACAAGCTCCATTTCATTTGGGTGGCCATACAATTTAATATAAACAGATATGGCAATACAGTTCTTTCGACTCATTATCTGTTCAAATTGTATGGCGACCTAAACTGAGCTTGTTGCCGTCCATTGGTGTATAATGATTTTGCTATTATTACTCGATTTGCGCACTCTGAAAGTTACAAGCATTTTAACACAGAGGCCAAGCGGAGCTTCGCATCACTACCGATGCAACACAAAGATACGAAAAAAAATGACAAATGTTAAAAACTAGTTGAACCAAAACTTTTGTATGTCTCGATGAAAAAACAAGTACAGACCCGCTAAAGCTGGACCCGCTAAAGCTGGAGACCCGTTGAAGCTGGAATTTCAAAGACCGAAGTTTTTGATATTGGAGTTTTCCCAAAGACATAATTATTCTCATACAAAAAATTTAAAAGTTTATGCAGAAAATAATTCGCGCAACTGGTTCTTTCGATTGAACTTTCCTTTTCAGATTTGAAAGGGTATTCTCTTAGAAAATTCAAAAAGTTTTCAAAAAACGATCAAAAATCAAAAAACTCAGGGCCATAACTTTGTGTAAAAAATCAGGCGTAGTCGCTGAAGTAAAGAATCTCAGTAAAAAAAACGGTTAAAAAATCAAAAATTGTGCCAGAAAAATTTCCGTGGCCGTTAATGCAGGGGAGCTTCCCACTACCAATTTTCTCCATTGAACACACTATTTCAGCTTGGGAGGGTAGTTTTTAAGAAAAACGAAAAAAATAAAATAAAAAACAAAGGTCAAATATTCTCCCATTTTTTAAAGGCTGTAGACAGAGGGTAATGTAAAAAAACAATAGGGGAGTATGATGGCACACAGTGGAATAGGCAAGGATATCATTTTTGAAAATCAGAGAAAAAATATCCAAAGCGTCTTAAAAAATCCAATCCCGGAAATTTTCATAAACCCTCTTTCTATCAAACGGGACGTCGAGGCAAACATGCCAAGCCAGACACTTTAAAATTAAACTCAGAGCTTCGAAACCACTTGCGATACAAAACAAGAGAGCCGCTAAGTCGGAAAAATTGAAAATGTCGAAAAAACTAGATTATCAAAACGAATATGACTATTTTTGATAAAAGCGTCAAAACAAAAGAAAATGAATGCAGCATTGTAAAGAAATTTACCAAGCGGTAACAAAGCCGAAAACACCTTAGCAGAAACCCTTTAAGCTGAAAAAAAATCAACAAGACGTAAGACTTTTAAAAAGTAAAAAAAGTCGCCCTCATCCTCAAAACCTCAGCCGAAAAACTGTAATTGCTCGTCATATGAAGCAAAATGAGGCCACTTAGCTGATATAAAAAATACCGAAATCTATTAGGCCGAAAAAAAAATTAAAAAAACAAGACGAAAAAATTCAAGTCTAAAAAAACTATCAAGTCCCCCTGGCGCTCAAAACACACAAACTTTTTTCTAATCAAAATGCGCAATATGAGGGAATTAAGCCGATTTAATATAAGCCAAAACCTATCAAGCGGAAAAAAGCGGGAAAAAAAACGAAAAAACTTGTTGCTATGAAAATCTATAATTTCTATTTAGATTTTTAGCATCTTGTGCGATCTAGAAGAGAGCATAAAAATTACGTTTCAACGAAACGAACCAAAAAAGGACACTAAGTTGATAAAACAATTCGAAATCATATGGGGAGAATGAAGTTTTAGAGCGATAAGAAAAATAAAAAATATAGATACGAGGTCATGGCTAGTAAAATTACAAACAGCAAAAAACCCAAACACTGAAAGCAAGTAAAAAGTAAAATTTGTACAGCAACATGAACAATTCTACGATAGGCCAAATATTCCGGCAAAACATAGGAAAAAAAATTAAGCCGACAATTTCTTTGAACAGGTCAACTTTGAATATTCAACATTTCTTCTCTCAAATGTTGAATTTCTTGGAATATTTAACATTTGAGAAAAAAGATCCCGTCAGATTTAAATCCAGGACCTTTGCCGTCCCATGCGTATTCGTTACCTCCAGAGAAAGTTTGCCTGAGACGCAAAAAAAACTTTAATTTATTATGAACTGAAATTAAATTTACCAGTTATATTTATGACCATTCTGTGAACAAGGTTATTTACAGGGGAAAAAGTTTAGTACCCGATTACAATACCATTTCTTATCGCACGGTTAATTAACAAAAAAAATACGAAGCGCAAACAAAGCCGACAATCTTTGAGCAGACACCAATGGAGCCGAAATGAAAAGATTTTATAAAACTTTAAAACGTTTCAAGTCCCCCCAAAACTAAAATGAACAACACTTGCAAATACAATGATACTTACTTACAGCACAAGAAAAATTCGTATGAGGCAGCCAAGCCGTTAAAACTTGAGCAGATAGACGAAAGCCCGACAAATCAATCTTTACCAGAAAAAAGTTTTCATTTGTATACATACTGAAAAAAACAAAGTCAGGCCAGGATTCGAACCCCGGAATTTAGGGTGCAAAGGCGTTACCTCTAGGCCAAGTGCGAAGAAACCTCGAAGTTGTAAATAAAGATTTTGAAACAACAGTTGTTTAAGGGAATAAAAAGTCTAGTTCCCGATTACAAGACACTTGTTAAGTGCTCCTCAGTTTGAAATTCGGTTCCGTAGCCCTAAAATTATTCGTCATGCATAAAATTCGAAATATAGTTCAGGCCAAATAGAAAGCAATGTCAAAAATCTTAACTTCAAAATGATTTTACACAGGGGCGGAAAATTTCGAAAACTTTGTCGACCTTTTTTTTAGGTCGATCAAATTGATTTTCCGAGCTCTCCCAAAGCACTAAAAAGACCCTATTTTGGCCAAATTTCCTGCGCTGCAGGCAACATTTTGAAAAAAAAACAAGCCAGAAAAGGCGTTTTTAGGCAATTTTTGGAAAATTTTAACCAAAAACTTGGGTTTCTTCGGCGCGTGCTCCCCCTTATAAATTAATATATTTGCACCAAAGGCGCCTTTAGAAAAATTTTAGTGCCTGTCACCAAAAACGGATATGTCAAAATAGTACTAAGGGGGGACTCTTTGGATCGGCAGGGGGTCGAATCCCTGAGGAATTGAAAAAACTCCTCAGGGAAAAAACCCCATGAGGAATGGAAAAAGGAATTGAAAAAACTCTCACGCGTGAGGTTAAGTGCATGCTTGCATTGCCTCGCCCTGGTTAATCGCCACTTCTCAATAGCTACCTTAATAGCGATGACATAATTATTGAACATGAATGCACATCATGTAATATTTCGCCGCATGACTCTTTACGTCTTTTCAACTGCAAAATCATACTCGACTTTCCCTAATTTTCCAGTTTGGTGCCTATTTTTTTGTTGAAATTAGCGAAAAAACTCAACAACCGAGAATAGTTTCAACCTAATCTCAAGAGGGTTTCTCGGCATTCTGATTTGAATGCCAACATCAAATTAATTGGTAACCGATTCGTTGAACGAAAATGGTATTTCCATAATTTGAGATAAACTAGGTTAATTCGTTTAGTTTTACGATGAGATGCAGAGACTTCAGAAGGAGAGAGGAGTCAACAGGACCCAGTCTCAAAGTAATTCCCGGTCGGGGAGAGGACCAGGAGTGAAGTGGTTCTACAAAGAGGCGCCAAAGGTGCTCTCAGACAAGTGGACCAGTCAGTCCAGCTACCGCAGATTCCCCCACAGCAGGGAGGAATATGTCTACACAGCCAAACTTCCCTCACGATTCTCGGTGAATACATTTTAAATTACTTTCCCTGTCACTATAGCTCTAAATGAGCTCAATGTTTCAAAATTGAGGAGTGCTTTAAAAGTATCTCATTGATTTCGTCGACCCAAAGACTACGTCAGACTTCAATGCCTCACTGAGATATCATAGTCAATCACAATATGCTCAAAATCTACGCTCAAGTGAAAAACAGCTATTTTTTTTTAAGAAAAGTAGATGAAGATCAAAGAAGAAGATCGGCTTAGCTTGATCTTCCGATGTATAACAAGAGCATCAGTAGCACAGAATATTCCGACCAAAGCTATCCTTGCTTAATAAAAAATTCCAAACAAATGTCTAGCTTTCTTTTTAATTTTTCAAAAAGATATGACGAGCACATTTTTAGCGGTGCTGATGGCATCACACGCTCATACGTAATTAAAACAGCATTGGGAACTTTCAATAGGACAACAGTCAGACTTGCTTGGTTCGAAACACACAAGCACTTCTGGACCTCAATATAAATTAAAACCAAACCTTACCTCTTTTCGTTTTATTGCCTTTTGGACAATTTAATTGGAAGCGACGCACTCTTTGCGATATATCGCAGACATAGGCTAACAAAGGCGAAATAAGAAAGATATCAAGTCGAAGAAAAAAAAATGCTTTGAAAATGATGAAAAAATAGCTCAACCGAAATACCTCAATGTTTGCCTGAACTGAAAAATTATATTGAAGCAACCAAAACACAAATAATGACGATAAAATATCTTTGAAACAAAGGTAAACAAAGCATTGAGCGAGCCGAAAATACATAGTTGGACGCCCATTAAGCCAGAAAATATTTAGAAAATTTTGAACTTATATTGAAACCTAGAAGCATAGCTCAATCTGATTAATTTCCACACTTCAAACGAAAATTTACAAGGCGACTATGCCTATCATACGAAAGCCAGTTAAACCATTCGAGGTATACAATTTGCCATACAACAAAAAATCAGTGCAAGCTAGCAGACAGGAAAAGAAAGCCACTAAGTCCAAGAAAGTGAAATTAAAACTTCAAAAACCACAACTTAAAAAAGTCAGAACGTTGTCTGGAATCATGTTCTCTGTGCGGAAAACACGTCCAGAAACACAATTGATGGCAACTACTGAAAATTCAAAAAAACTAACAAGCTTCAGCTGAGCCGACGAAACTTGAATAATTTCCCGTAGAACCGTATTCTAAAAGTTTTAGCATTTTGTGCGATTCAGAATGAGGTATAAAACTTATGCTTTCCTTAAAATGATCCCAAATTAGGCCACTGAGTCGACAAAAAGCTGCAATCATTCAAGCCGAATATAGTTTTTAAGCGAAAAAAAACTAAAACAGCAAAAAAATACGAAATCAATGCTAGAAAAATTAAAAATTGCAGGAGTAATTCATAACACTATCTATAAGCAACTACATTGAAATTGTGTACAAAAAAAAGTGAATTCTACTATGTGGCAATTAAACCGACAAAACAAAAGCAGACAAACAATAGACCGACTTTTTTGGAAAGGAATATTTCCAGGGGGGAGCGGTGTTGAAGTGGTTACGTCTCCGCCTCTCAATCGAAAGGTCGGCCTCTCAATCGAAAGGTCGGATGTTCGAGGTCCAACATGATCCGTGCTCGTTGCTTGAGGGTGAAACATTACCCAGCCCAGAAAACTAACAAACAAATTTTGCATGTATTTCTTAAGCAGGGGCACAACAGCGGTTCGCCGTGATGAGCTGTACAGCTCGTATGTTGGTCCTTTCCCTCGAGTATAAATGGTCTGAAGTTTAAAAATAAACGGTTCCTAGCCAGATCTGAACCCACCACGTTTACCGTCCCAGGCAAATTCTTTACCTCCAGGCTAAGTGCCGGACATACTTTTTTGAATTCACTATGAACCAAGATACAAGTGATTCTGTTAAACAAGTTATTTAACCGAAAAAGTCTATAATCCGATTTGATAAAAATGGGCGAAGGCCAGACCGGGATTCCCGCTACCAACCAAGAGCGGAGAAGCTTCAAATTAAACCTTAACACAAACTAAGCACCTTAAAAAACTGGATTCAATAATGACATGCACTGACAAACAATTTCTGTATGTGGTTCATAAAAGCAGATAATGAACCAGTTCTGTTCATCAAAGCAAATAAAAATCGAAGCCGCAAAATTTGAGTCTGCTAAGCCAATACTTGTCCTCAATTTTTTCTGGACAAAGAGATATTTTGAAAATATTATTGGAACTTGAATCAAAACTAGAAATACTTCAACCTAAATAATACACATGATCTCCTACGAGTTTCATTGAAGCGCCCAAACTCTTCGAGTGGCCCGAACGATACAAATTATGATCAAAAACTGGTTTAAAACATAGCTATAGTTTATTGCATATATTCAAAAACTTGACTCCAAACAAAACTTCATTTAAAATTCAGATATCAAGAGATGCTATCAAAACAATTGCAGAAGAAATTTTAACAGCAAAAAAATGATTCTGACAAAATTATGTCGTAAGTTTTGCACCGGATGTTTGAAATCAGACAACTTTATAACATCAAAGTTTTAGGACTGCAAAATCTGGCAAAATTGACAATTACCAGATTCAGCCAACGAACTTCCAGCTTATGCGTACCTCAATTCCACTGCTGGGCCACCTCGTTTGCTATCAAAGAAAATTAAAAAATACCCTAACAAAAAACCAGGCAGCACTGATAAGTTTTCACACAGAGGCGAAGATGAGCTTCGCACCACTTGCGATAAACACGAAAGCCGCTGAGTCGAAAAAAAAATCGAAAACTTCGAACTAGATCTATATTCACAAACACACACACACACACAAACAAACTTTATTCACGCGTTAAATGAAACAATATGCGGCCACTATGCCGATATAATATTGGCCGAAACCTATTAAGCCGAAAAAAAAAAACAAAGACTAAAGAAAACAAAAAAAATAAGACTAAAAAGTTAAAGTTTCCTCGCCCTCGAAACACAAACTACTTTTTTCGTCCATCGAAAGGCGCAATATGCGGTCATTAAACCGATATAATATAGGCGGAAACTTATCAAGCCGAAAAAATAAAAAACAAAAAAGCCAAGAAAAAAATTATTGTCATGAAAAACTTGAGTTCTAATTTCTATCAAGATTTTCAGCATTTTGTGCGATCCAGAGTTGAATATAAAAACTAGGTTTCTCCTGAAACCACTCGATATTAGGCCACTAAGCCGATATAAAATAAGCCCCAGCCTATTAAGCCGAAAAAAGGACAAACAATAAAATTTCAACAAATCGAGCTGGAAAAACCACAACCAACATAAAAAGCAACGGATATTCAAAATAACAAACTCAACCATGCTTCATATTTGCAACGAGAGGAGTAGGATTGACAAGGAGGACGAAGAAAGAGGATTTGCAAAGAGGATTTGTGATGGAGTCCAGAAGTGAGTCCTGAGGACAAAGTTGTTTACGGAAAAAACATTCGAGTACCCGATTGCAATACCCATGCTATCGCAGGGGAATTAAGCGGAACAAAAAACACGTGGTGTTAAATACAGAGACTCAGAAACTGCATAAAAAATGAACATCAATTGTGCGACTTGGATTGAAAACGGTGAACTTTTGACTATACTACAAGCAGTTGTTTGTAATGAGAAAGATTTTTTGTTATCGTAATTAATCGTGAACAGAAGTCACAGCACATTGTATCAGATTTTAAAAAACTTTAAAAAAAAAGTGACAAAAAGTGCGACCGTTTTTTTTTCTGAACACAAATTTCGACTTTTTCAGTAACCATTTTTGGAGAATTTTTTCAACCATCTGAGAGGTAATGATGTCCTGAGCATGAATTTTAAACACAGTGGTGAAGCTGGGCATCGCATCATTTGCGATACAACAAGTATAACATAGAAACAGCATGACGCTGAAGAAGTAGCAAAGAAGACTTCGAGCGGAGAAAAAATTGAAAAGGAAACAAGAAAAATTTTAAAAATGAAGAAATAAGCTTTTTTCATGATCAAAATTATTTAAATTTTTTAGGAAAGTTATGACGTTAATATTGAGCATTCGAAAACATAGAGCCAGAGTCTTATCGATCTTTAAAACAAAAACAGGAAATTCGTAGGAAACAAATAATTGGGTAGAAAAGTCGACAAAATTGCAGCCGACAGCCAATAAGCTGAAAATCAACAGAAAAATAAACTGCTTATAGTGCCACAAGTGGTTCATATAAAAAAAAAATACAAGACCCAATTCGGAAACTAAACCTACAGAGTTTAAGACGACAACCAAAAAGCACAAATTTTGGAATGCAACACAAACATAGCACAACAAACTGGCAGACAGAAACTGAGACGAAAGCCGCTGAGTTAAAAAAAGTTGTGCTAAGTTGAAAAAATATGTAGTTGCTAAAAAAAATTGCATGCGTAATAACTCGTGCTCATTTACCGACAAAGCAAAACTTCCGAAACTTTTTTAAAACAATTAAGTTGCAAAATTTATATTAAATTGTTTCAAAAAATAAAGCAAAAACTTTGGCTAAAAAAATATAGCTCAATTACTTCCACTAGTGGCCTTCAAAAAATTTGAAGAAAGCTGAATCTTCAAAAAATGTCCGTGCAGCGGGAACTAAGCCGAAAAAATAAAAAGACGGACGCGATTGCATGAAAAAGCAGAAAATTCTAGTTAACAAAAAGCAAAATCCGAACTACAAGCCTTAGTCATCTCAAGCATATGTACCTCTATGCCGGATGCGCTAAATAATTGATTGAATTTAAATTCTTTATAATAAACAAACTGAAAGGCCGAAATTGACAACTTTAAGTTAAATTATTTTAATTGCACTGCGAAATGCTTAAGAGCTTGATTTAGAAAAATTTCTGTTGAAGATCAACCGTTATTGAGAAAAACATAACTAATAGAAATAACTAATTAAATATTGAAAAAATAAGGCGACAGAATTAAAGCCGAACGACCTCAGTGCCAAAAATCTACCAAAAAAATTTCGAATCTGCTAAAATAATAGAAAGCAACTCCTAATGTAAACACCAACACAAAAAGGAAAAAAGCCAAGTACCCGATTGTTGTACCCTTGCATATCACAAGGGTAAAAACTCCATCTGTATTTTATTTTCGTGACGTTATGAGGGTTTGAAAACAGCCAATTTGGGACAACTAACGCGCGATCTATTTCGTGATGTAACGCGTAAGCAAAATAACAAAAACTACAACTTTCAATTTCATCATTTTTTAAATTAAAAAACCATAAAATTTAAAGGGGCATGGGAACATTAAGGACTTCACCATGATATGAGCAGTCTTTATCATCTTTTGTATTTATCTTGTGTATTTATTCTTCTTGAATTTTCTATGAAAAAGCCATTTTTCAACTAATAAGAATTACACAGAGGCGAAGCTGCGCTTCGCAAACAACTGCGAGAACACGACCACAAATTAGCTCTATCAAGTTAATAATTAAAAAAAATTCGAAGTAAGCCTCGAATTAACAAAAACTCGACTATATGTGTGATTCGAATCTGCAACCTTCTGCAATCAAGAGATCTTGAGTCTCACGCACTATCAGCCACTCGAGCTTAACAACCGATAAACACTAGTCATGAATAAAGCAGCCACATATGCTAACAAATTGCCAATTCGATTAAGCACCAAATACAAATAGACTCAATTTTGCAATTAATAATTTGGAATATAACAAACTGAAGGCATCCACACTAACTTTGCATGAAACAAATCGCAAAGCATTAAGCCAAATTATGCATAATTTATGCATTTAAAAAATTGCGAGATATATTGAGTTAGAAAATTTCTGCAATCGAGTTTTTATTATTGCTATGTTTGAAACAAATAGCTTTCTTCCGTTCATTTGATGAATTAAAAATGCACCAAATGTGTTAATTTATTGTCAAAGCACATGCTATCAAAAAGCTGTAAGGTGCCCCACCATTTTTGGGGTACCGCACCATAAAATTGCAGCACCAATGTTTGCGACTTAGGTTGGAAAAAAAGAAGGTTCGTAATAATACACTAGCTTCGCAAGTATAAATATGCTGGGATTCAAATTTATTTCAGATAATCAAATTATGACCAAAATGGAAAGATGGAAGCTATTGGAATTCTTTGTTTTTGGTGAGACCTTCAAAATATTGTCCCCTTCACCGGCTCTGCTGAAACATGTAAATTTTGAACCTTTTTTCTCAACCACTGTTAAATGGCTTGTTTCGTTTCAGAATACACACTACTTTCAACAATGGTGATCAATCAAAATTCAAAAAAGGAAGAGACGCGATAAATCGCAGGACAGAAGGCAGCTACTTAACCGAGACTCGGCTTTTGCTTTCATATTTACGCAATCAATTTCCCAATTAATTCAAAAAATTTTCTGATGTGTTTTGTCTATTCTTGGCATTTACTGCCTTCAAGGCATCTGCTTGTTTTCAACCGAACCAACCAAATGTGAAAAGAAGGATTAATCCAGACTAGATAATTTTACATGTCAAGTATAAATGCTATCAACCTAGTGTACCGAAACGGCAGATGTTTTCACCGCTGTTTCCATGATTTCTCAATTTTACTGACCAAAACCTCGCCTTTAGATTTTTTTAATTCAGATCTAAACACAATATTTTTAAAACCTGATCAAAATGCTGAAATCAGGTAAACCTCGCCCTCGCTCAACTGTTTTGCCAGCCATAGCAACCCCAAAAATCAAAACCTCAGAAGACCGAGTTAGACCTTGTACTGCATGTAACGACATTCGCTTCCTCGACCTAACAAAATCTCCAAGACTGTTATCCGCAAGAATTCCCAATATGTCTTCTAGTTACTATAGCAGCCAGTCCAGCACAACAGGGTTGGAGCATTACCATAAAAAGGGAGGCGGCGTTATCTATAAAACCGAACAGATTTTAAATGGGACAAAATCACGTCACAAAGACAAATTAGAACCATGCGACCCGATTCGAGGAGGCGGTAGACTTTACGATGTTGCAATTTCGTTCAACTCCGACAATGTTCATCTTGCAGTCGAGATAGCAAAATTTTTGGAATCAGAGTACCTGCGAGTAGCCATGTGTAAGATACCTTCGAATGATGAAAACAACAACAAAAACACTTCCGTAGACAGTGGAACTGAAAACAGTTACAAAATCATTCAGTCGAGAAACTATTTGCAATTACAGCACGGAAAGTATATGCTGGAAAACATTCGATTTGAGGAAGAGTTATGTCTAGCAGTCGAAATGGGGATAGCAGTCATATTTGCGAAATCTACACCCAATGGGACTGACATACATTCGCTGAAATTTCCAATGCAGTTGATAGTGGGACAGTACAAAAAGACGTGCATTGATCTATCCGACCCAAACACAAGACAGCGACATGTAAGAGTAATTGCTGAAACTATTCTCAGCAACAATGAATTTCCCAACAAAATTCGACACAGTTTGAGAATCAAAAGCATTTGCAGCATTGAAAACAGAGTAAACGATCAAACACCGCGATACTTCTGGAGTAACTACATAGGAAATGACAAAGTCGTATCGTGGAAAACCTTTTTTGCCCATTTTTTCAAGCACTACGCTCAAAACATTGATCCAATATCAGAAAGAGATCGAATTTGGCTGTGGAGTATTCTCAGAAACCAGCTGATATCAACTGATGGGAATTTGACGCCCTCAGATTTGGTCAAATTTTGCACCGAACAAAATACAATTCTAGTTCCTATTTGGGCAAAACTTTGCCAGTTGGCTGCGAAACTACATGTTTTCGCTACGCTGATTAATGTTGATTCATCTACGCGCGAGATCTTTACCACTTACTTTGGAAGGCACATACAGACAGAGAAGATGGCCTTGCTGATCCTTCTAACAAAAGATCAGAACCCAAATTGTCGAGTCGCCGCAATTCTAACGCTCTTTGAGTTGACCAAATCCCAGCTTGATATTGGGCGTACAATTTGCGAGATCAATCCTTGTTTATCTGACGAAGATTACTTTGTCAGGGAGAGTGCATGTCGCGTAGCTTCTGTATCGCCTTTGTTCGTGGAGAAATTTCGATCCAAACTCATGTTTTTGTCTCGAAACGACCCAGTTAAGAGAGTAAGAGACGCTGCAGCTTCAGCTTTGCTAGCAACTGGGTCCTGTGAAGACACTATGAGGAATTGATTAACATATGACACGTTTTAAACTTCATCCAGAAAACAACAGCCAAAAATGTATATGTTGTTCATTAAAACCCTTCATAGTTTAAAACTACGAGTACATGTTTTTAGCTTGTTAAATAAATGCTGATCACCTTTTTACTCTGGCAATAAGCAGAAGAAAACTTACCAATGGTTTCGAAAACTTACCAAGGTAATCCGGGTTTGAAAACGCCAATTTTCCTCATCTGCGCTAAATTTTGCATCGTGGTGAACTTTTTCTTGAATAAGCGGAGTAAAAAAATGTTCATCCGACGTTAAACATTATCAGCGAGAAAAAGGAAACATCCATTGTTAAAATTTAACTGAACTCGGACGTTTCTTATTTTTCAGGCAGATTGAAAATTTTAGTGCAGATGAGAAAAACGGACCCGGATTACATTGGTAAGTTTTTGAGACCAAACATTGATAGTTTTATAGAGGACAGCTCTGATCATTTACTTGTGGGCTATTTAAAAATTTTACTATATTTCGAAAGAAATGTTCACCGAAAACGACTATGGAAACTAGCTTTTCAGAGTAAAAACCTGACTTTGCGCTGAGTTTTGTCCATTACTGTACAATAACAACATAACAATTAGCTGTTTTTAAAAGTTAAATAATCAATAGGTTGCCTCAAAAAACTAAGCTGGGGAAATTTTCCCTCAACCAAAAAAAGGTGACCTAAGAACAACAAAAAATTGGATTATTATTTAAAATCAGAAAGATTTAGGGCATCGAGTACAAGGGTTTGAAAAAACATGTTCTAATAGTTTTTAGAAGAAAACATTTTCCTCTGAAAGAATTTGAATTCCATAGTACTTGCAGGTGCATAGGTCATTTTAGCCTAATTGTTGTGATAAACTTATTAAATAGATTTGTTATGTTTGATGTTTGTGCCTGTATGTGGAGCGCCCTCTGAGGGATTTTAGAGACAGGTCTGTCAAGTGGCTTTCTGTGGGGAGGTGGGGAACTGGAACTGGCTTGAGAAGTCTGGTGGTGCGCCGCTGGACCTACTGAGCTCGGGTGAGATTGTTCCTTGTTTGTGATTTTTAACCTTTATGCTGCCTTTTAACCTTTTAAATTAATTTAGTTGTCTTTTTTCTTTTTATTTGCTGATTTGTAAAATTCCCACTAACCGCTTATCATGGGTTAGTTCAGTCCCCTAAAGTCCAGTCAAAATCCTTTTTTTTTACCTTTATGCTGCGTCAAGATGAGGAAAAACAACAAAGAGTGTACAAGCAAAGATTGCTTAAAACCTTCAGGACTGATAAATTGGATTAAATGTGATTGTTGTTCTAGTTGGTATCATATCAGTTGTGTAAATATTTCTCTTAGCGACTCTAAGAAAACCCAATGGTTTCAGTGTCCTTTATGCGTTGATGTAAAATCTGTTAATAAAGCAACAATAGGTAATGATTTAGTGCTAGACAATTATGTTAATACAACCATCTCAAATGTCCGAGTACTCAAGAGAGTACCAAAAGACTCGCGTGTTCCCTTGGCGGAAAATCTGTCGGACAAAATAAATGACATCGTCTACAATGTAGAAGATGTTACAAAATGGCTAATTTTTTTAACGTCGTTCTTGTTTTTTTTGGAGCAACCGAAAAGAAGTGGACGCAAACAGACCACAAGCATGAGCTCTTTGATAAATAAAAAAATTCGAGCAAATGACGTGTCACTTCCAAAACCCCATCCCCAAGTTTCAAGCCCGCCTCTGAGTGACCTCGAGCAGAGAATAAAGTTAATAAGTAGTAAGCTCGATGAAGGAAATGTAAAGGGCGGAATAAGGCTTGCTGCTTCGGATGACAAAATAGCTCCTTTTTCAACTGATAACTATCAAAAATTGTTATCTAAGCACCCGCAGCGAGCCAAATTTGCAGCTCCAAATCCAGAAAAGTTGGATAGTTTTTTCGTAACCGATTTCGACCTATACAAAGCGATAATGTCCTTTCCAAACGGATCAGCAGCAGGACCTGATAAAACATTTCCTCAAATTTTTAAAGATCTTGTTAGTAAGTCGAATGGCAGTGCAGGACTTAATTTTCTGAAATCGCTTACTAAGCTGATAAACCTCATTGGAGATGGCAAAATACCGGAACCACTAAGACCTTTCTTTTTTGGCGCAAAGCTTATCGCCCTCATAAAAATAGACGGAGGGTTGAGACCGATTGCCATAGGCAACACGCTGAGACGTATCGCGTCTAAATGCGCTGGAAGCAAGGCCCTCTCCGAGCGACAAAATTTTTTCGGAAACGTACAGGTAGGATGCGGTACCAAACGAGGAGCAGAAATAGCTGCGCACTCGTTTCGAAACCTAATTGAACGCGACGACAATCCAAAATGTACTGTTCTTTTAAAACTAGATTTTAAGAATGCCTTTAACTCTTTAAACAGAGAAACAATGCTGAATCATGTTTTTTCAAATCGCCCCGAATTATATAATTACACCCATTGCGCGTATGCTAAACCTAGTTACCTTTTTTACGGAAGCTCTGTCATAAGGTCAGAAGACGGAACTCAGCAAGGTGATCCTGAAGCCCCACCCCTTTTTGCGGAAACAATTCATACACTAGTCAAACAGTTGGAGTCGAAAATTAACATCTGGTATTTAGATGATGGGAATTTAGCCGACGACTATAAGGTAGTACTCCGGGACCTTAAAAACATTCTGAAATCGGAACAAATTTACGGCCTGAGCTTAAACACTGAGAAGTGTGAACTTTGTTTTTTGGGACCGACTACTAGTACACAGTATAATTCAATTTTAACACAATTTCGAAAAATATGCCCCAAAATAAAAATAAAAACAAAAGAAGAACTCCTCATTTTAGGATCTCCAATCGGCGAACTTTGCCGAAAAGGATTACTCGACGAAAAAATTAGGGAGCTTGAAAAAATCTCGGATGTCATTGACAAACTAGACGCCCATTATGGTTTTTACCTCCTGAAAAATTGCTTTAGCATGCCAAAACTCCTATATTTTTTGCGTACGAGCCCTTGTTTTTTGCAAAATGATTTTTTGGAACGCTACGATAAATTACTAAGAAATTCGTTATGCAAGGTCACTAACGTGAAAATGGATGATAACCAGTTTTTACAAGCAGTTCTCCCGGCAGCCAAAGGTGGCTTGGGCGTTTCTTCCGCTCGTCTACTCGCTTTACCCGCTTTCTTAGCCTCAGCAGTAGGAGCGAAAGATGCCTTGAGCGAAATCTTTGGTTTGGAGCATGTGGATGGAACCAATGATGATGCGCTTAAACGGTGGTTTGACCTTGGAAAAATTGAAATGGCTCCGGAAAATGAAATCCAAAAAAATTGGACGGAGCCAATTTTTGACAGCGAAATTGCAGACTTGATTTTACGACTCGAACCAACGGACGTGAAAAGGTTCAACGCGTTCCAAGATAGATTTGGATCCCAATGGTTGAACGTCATCCCCTGCAAAAATTTAAGGTTAAAACTGTCGAACCAACAACTCAGAATTGCGATAGGACTTCGATTAGGATCAAAAATATGCGAACGGCATAAATGCGTGTGCGGAAAAGACGTTACCGAGGATGGTTGGCATGGTCTTTCTTGCCTCAAAAGTGCAGGGAGATTCTCTAGGCATTCAAACCTGAATGCCCTTATAAAGCAGAGTCTATCATCTACTCACATTCCGTCTGTTTTAGAACCACGACACCTCTACAGGACCGATCAGAAGCGACCAGACGGTTTGACGCTCGTTCCATGGGCTGATGGTAAGCAGCTCTTGTGGGATGTAACGGTAGTAGACTCCTTAGCCCCTTGTAGGATTAATGCCGGGTCTGTTTGTAACCCTGGTACGGCTGCCGCTGAAGCGGAAGAGCGAAAAATTGACAAATATAAAGATCTTGTAAATGATGGATATCTTTTTCAACCGCTAGCTTTTGAAATTCAGGGCGCGGCCGGCCCCAGCACAGAAGTTTTTTTGAGCAAGCTTTGTAAGAACCTAAGCATATGCACTGAGGAACCCAGAGCAGGCAGCTTTTTAAAACAGAGAATCTCCCTGGCAATACAGATTGCGAACGCCGCTTGCGTACTCGGAACAATAAATGACAAAATAACTTTCGACGAAATTTTTTACTTGTAACACTTGTATATTATATTATCTCGTGTCGAGTTGCGTGTTCTTATTGAAGAAGCGTAACCCGTATCGATTTTAAATGAAAAGGACTTAAACACTTGACATCTTCTTTTATCATTATCACTTCCATATCTAGAAAATTCCAAGGATTTTGACTGGAATACATGATGAAGGGACTCATGACTGTAACCTCGGTTACTATGATACTTTTGACCTTCTGATTTCTTTTTTGGACAAATCAAATTTTGTTGAGTTTTGTTATATTTAAGTTATGTGAAAAAAAAGTCAATAAAAAGATCGGAGCCGTCATTTTTAGGCCAGAATTGGAACCCCTGAGACTACCCTGGCAGCACCGTATTACTAGATTGAGACGTTCAACTTTTGTCAATATTTAAGATAACTTCTTTCAAACATATTTTTGAAACAATCAAAAAAATTTTCGAAAAATCTTTTAAAAACGTCGAATCTCGGAAACAAAAAAAAGATTTGGGCAATCATAATTGATGCGCAACCTGCAATGCCTGAAATTACCCTGAGAGCAATTCACACAATCAATTGAGAATTTCAATTTTGTCTAGTTTTCATTTATTAAAATCTTTGAAAATTTTTGAAAACAAAAACATAAAAACGTCATATCTCGCAAACTAAAAGGATTTGAGCAGTCAGATTTTGAAGTGCGATTCGCAACTCCTGAGAGAACCCAGAGTTTCAATTTCTAAAGAAATTTTTAACTTTAAGTGTTATGAAAATCTTAACCATTGCATAATACGATGATATATAGAGAGTTGCAAAAAGTTCGGACAGACAGAATTAATTAAAAAGAGCAACTGTCTAGACATCAACGAAAATTAAAACTGAAATAAACATAACGTCGAAAGTTCAAAAAGCAGAACTACGGGATCTACTTAACAATCCCCATTTCAAGAAAGGGGAGGAAATCGTTACTAAGGTTACTTGCAGCAAACTGTCGACCAATCAGAATCCGAATTTACATACAATGCTCTTGTGCGAAATTACTGTTTTTACTTACAGGGGTGGAGATTCTTTAGTGGATAGAGTAGGGGGATTGTTAAGTAGAACCGAGTTTCGCTCAAAACCTATAACCACGACGGGCAATTGCATCTAAAGCGTCGAAATGTTTTAGAGTTAAATCTGGATGCTCATAGCAGTATTTAAAATTCAGGCTAGCGTAATCATCGGATAATCGACGATCTCGCATTTTGAGTTTGGCCTGACAAAAAATTCAAGGTTGTTCGGCTTCAGATTTTGCATGCAAAAAAGCGTCGAAAAGCACTGATTGCTCATTTCAATTAATTCTGTCTGTCCGAACTCTTTGCTACTAATTATAGCTTAAACGTTCAATTCGTTGAAAAAGCTTAAACAGCTAGAAATCAGTCGGCTTTTTTTTGCTCTTTTTTTCATTATTTTCGCCTTTGATCTTTCTGACCTTCAAACACTAAATGAGAATTCTCCAAAAACAAAAATACAGTCGTTTAGATAGATATTAGTCTGAACTAGAAAATTCATTCGAATTAAAACAAAACATCCAAGCATTATATTATCAAACCCTAAATTTTGAAAATTCCATTCATGCTTTATTCGAAAATCTGTAATAAAAAAACAAATTTGGCAAAAGAAAAAGACAATTACAGAACAATTTAGAAGAAAAAGAAAAAAGATATCAAAGCCGTACCACTAGACCGGTCGACATTTACTACTATTTGGGACTGAGAAATTGTTTTCAATAGCTTTTTCTGCGTTTTCTC